AAGTGTGACCAGTAGTAGTCATATATATAGAAAGTAGAAATGCATGTGAAAACGTCTCAATGTCAATTGCCTTAAAATGAATTTTTCTGCATGAAACTGTGTATTTTAACAACGAAGTGGAGATCTTTTTTAAACGTTAAAACCCCATTTAATTTTATGTCTTATAGAGTTTATAATGAGTAAAAATTGTATAAGCGTAATAATTCATCTGTAAACCTAAAAATGTACAGACAATTTTGAAAGAGATGTATCCTAGCTCAGAAAAATGTTATTGAATAGGTTAATGCTGTTGTAATGAAATGCTTCTTCTAATTAAAAAAAATTAAAAATAAAAAAGATGGAGGGGAGGTGCAGAGATGGCTCAGGAAGTTATCAAGACACTCGCTAGCCAGAGCTCAAGCCCTGAGGGAGGAGAGAGCCGACTCCGACTTCCACAGGTTGTCCTTTGACCTACACATATTTGCCCACACAAAATTAACAAATGTAAAATTTAAAAAGAAATTTTTAGAAATCATGAACGGACACACACCCGGGGGCAGTGACCTTCTGACCTTCTGTTCATTTCATCAGCCTGTTAGAATTCTGGAGAACAGGAAAATGAGAAGAAAGCAAGTAAAAGAACAGTTTCTTTTTCCACGCAAATTTTCATACTGGAAAAGTTAACTCCCAGAAAACAGATTTGAGAATTCCCTGTAGTTTATCTACATAGATTAGAGAAAAAGAAATTACCCAATTAACAAGTTTTCTTTCCCTGGGAGCTTCTCTTGTGGGAATGAGCGGGACCCCACATTCAGAGAGAGAAGTTTCCCAGTTTAATCCGGATAACAAAAACGTTCAACCTGTCACGTAAGCAGATTAACCACTTGCAGCGGGGGAATTAAACAGCTCAATGAATAGCGAACATAAAAGGCACTAACATGTAACAGAAAACAGGAAACACCACTACGGGCAAAATTACAAATACAGGCTTGAGTTAAAATGCTGGGCAATGCACCTGCTGAGAAAGAGGAACGCGGGATGTCTCCCAGTCTTAGTTACTCGGTGTTAACGCTAATTCTCAACCTGGCAGTGATGTGGGAAATAAACTCAACGCAAAATACACAGTCCCTTCCTAGACGGGAACATTCCTTCAGGTACTGTGACAACGTGCTGAGCACAGGAGAACAAATCCAGGGGACGTTCCTCTGCACAGAGGTGACGCGTGTGAGGCCAAGGGATTCAAAGCGGCACACACGAGTGGACAAAAGAGGCGGAGGTCGGGAAGACCGCCCCCCGCACAGACGGAAGTGCACAGAAACACCGGCCGAGGCGCAGACAGCGCTGGCGCCGGGCTGACAACGTAGCAAAACGTCTCCGCGCGGCGCCTGCTGAGCGTGGGTTCAGCCCCGGCCGCGCGTGCCCGGCACCGGACCGGATCCACGCCTACACGCCTCGGAGGCGCCGGCCGACCGGCCAAGCGACCTGCCGGGCGACGACAGATCTGACGTTCTTTAAAGATCAAGTCTGAAGCGCTCTGGAGACAAGCCAACGACTACTTAGCCTTCTTCCGAACGTGGACCCGAAATGCCCCTTTCTGCGTGCTGTCCGCAGCTGGCCGGGTGCTGGGCGGACGCGCAAGGCTTTCGGCGCCCGGCAGGCTGACGGCGCAGAGACGCCACGACAAGCCGGAACCGCGGGAAGGCGCGCGGCTTCCGACGCCTGACGCCTCAAGGGCCGAGGGGGCTCGCGGCCTGGCGCAGAACGCTCGGGGCCGCACGCGGAGTGCAGCCGGGGCTCCGGGCCGATGTGCAGGGCCGCGGCCTGGCTGGGGTCGCTCCCGGCCCGCCCTTCGCGCTCACCGCGTTCTTTTTCTGCACCATCTTGTCCATCTTCTTGGCAATGCGAACCACCTCATCCTCCATGGCTCCGGCAGGCCTTCCCCTCACCCGGCCCGCTGGGGACGGGAAGTGGGCGAAGCTGGAGCCGACCGGACGTCGGGAAGCGATCGGCGACCTAGCGACTGCAGGCCTGGGCCTAGGCCCTTCCTCACAAACCAGGCGCGCTGCGGAGGTGGTGACGGCGAAGGCTCCGCCCCCACAGGCCTCGCTAGCGGACCTCCGAACGCACCGCAAAGGCGCTACCAATCGATTGCAGAGGGCTGCGGGGGGCGTGGCGGGGAGAGATTCCCGCCCTCGCCACCTGTTCCCCTGCCTGGCTGCGACCTGCAGTTGGGCCCTGCGAGGCGGGTCCTGCAGCTGGGGCCACTCGTCTGTGGCGCTCTCCTCGGGTCAGCTCCTTGGCAGGAAGTGATTTCGCTCGTGGTGCGTCTAGACAGTCTGCGGAATTCGTGGAATGGAACTTTGACGGGTTTTAAAGGCTGTGGGAGCCTAGGGAGCGTGCCTTTAATCCCAGCCCTCGGGAGGCAGAGGCAGGCAAAAGTCTGAGTTCCAGGCCAGCCTGGTCTACATAGCGAGTTCCAGCCACCTGGGGCTACAGGGAGACCCTGTCTCAAAAAGACAACAAAAAGCCAAGTAGAAGATTGACATATGGTTTTGCTTTGTTCCTTTTGTGAAATTTTCTAGAAAAGTAGGAGCCAATGAACATGACAGATTTAAGCTCCAGTATTCCTTCCTGCACAAAACGATAACTAGAATAAGCCTATCTCAAGTAGAACAGAGACCATAATTTTTAAAAATACACTCCAAAATGATATGAAAATATAGCTAAGGTTGAGAAACATTAAGATGATTTATACTTAGTACCCATAATGACCCCACACACACACACCAAAGAAAGAGATCTTTTTTTTTCTCATTTTATATCTGTTGATTGCCTTCATGTGTGTAAGTACACCATGTATGTGCTGAGACCAGCAGGCCGGAGATCCGGAACTGAGTTACAGATGGTTGTCAGCCACCATAAGGGAATAGAACTGGACAAACAGCCAGTGCTCTTAACTGTCGAGCTGTCTCTCCAGCCGTGAGGAATTTGTTTTAATAATCTGGACGACCACTATTGTTCTCTGTTGTAACGAAATGATTGATGAGATTATAAAAGGAACCATCTTCATTGCCATAATGGTCCTGCCAGCTAGGAACTTCTGTTTTACAAACTCTACAAAGACACTGTTAATAGTGGAGCATAGAATATAGGTCCTTCAACAAGTCTGTGCCCAGTTAAACCTTTGATGCTAATTCATGCTATTCTCCACTGTAACTGCGCTCCAAATTTAATTATTAACCCAATCTACTTCGTAATAAGACCCTTTCAATACTGGGAGGTTTTTATGATGCATGAATGTGAGTATTCTGGTGCAACAGCATGAGGTGGCTGGAGCAAGATACAGGGCGTCTTTCTCTTCACCATACTGCCTTGAGAAAGCCTGAAGTTTGCAGTTTCAGATAGGCCACCAGCTAGCTGGCCACCAAGCTTTCTAGATCTGTCTCAGACCTCCAGCATTGTGGTTACAGGCACACACAGCCATGCCCAGATTTTTTATGTATGTACTGGGATGCCTTTAATCCCAGCACTTGGGAGGCAGAGGTAGGCCAGCCTGGTCTACATAGCAAGTTCCAGGTCAGTTGAGGCTACAGGGAGACCCTGTCTCAAAAAGACCAAAAAAAAAAAAGCATTCTTACCCACCAAGCCATCTCCCCAGCCCTAAGTGCAGTTATTTTTAACTGTGGTAAGATACACAGCATAAAAATTATCATTTTAACTGTTTTATTTGCCTGTTTTTTGAGACAGTGTCTTTTGTAGCCCAGGGCTGGCCTTGAACTCACTATGATCCTGCTACAATTACAAGCAGGCACAACCATGCCCAGCTTACCCATTTTCAGGGGTACAATTCTGTGGCATTAGAACAATATATGTTGTTACAACTATGACCTCTAGACAGTTTGCAAAAGTTTTCCAAAATTTTATCATCTCAAAAAGAAACTATACCAATAAAGCATTTTGCCTGATTTTTATCTGGATCTTCTTGTCTTACAAGTTCTTTTTTATATTTTGGAATCTAGGCTCTTAGATATGTTATCTGCAAATATTGTTTCCTATTTTTAGGTTGTCTTTTTCACTCTTTAATGTACAAACTTTTACCAAAGTCCCATTCATCTATTTTCTTTGGATGCTTGTCCTTTTGGTGCCAAATATCAGAAACATGACCTGACTCAAGGTCATGAAAATTGATCATTGCCATTTTAATAGTGTTGTCTCCCAAACCATTAAAAAATGGAATGTTTTCCCATTAATCTAGAGCCTCTTTAATTTCCTTTGGCAATATAATTTTCAGTGTGTGACTTCCCGTTATTGGCTAAATTTATTCCTAGGTATTTTATTCTTTGGAATGCTGTTATAAATGGAATTATTTTCCTAGTTGCCCTTTTAATTTGTTCATTGCTACCATGTACAAATACAACTAATATTTTTATTAGCTCATAGTTTTTTGCTTGTTTGGTTGGTTTCTGAGACAGGATCTTGGGTAACCCAGAATGGCCTCTGCTGTATAGTACTGTCTTCTGAGCCAGACAGTCATCATCTTCATGAGTGAATTCAGCTATGCTTAAAGCTCATCACTGCTGGGTTAGTTGACTGTTGATGTTCCCTCCTAGAAGGAGGGGGCAAGGAGTGTCTTTAGACCCTCACCTGAGTATACAGCCACTCTTCCCAACCAGTTGTACGCAACTGCATGTGGCCTTGGGGTCTTAGAGAGGGGCTAGTGTCTACTCTGGGAAGGACCAGGGGAGGGGCTCCATCTGAACCGCCATAAGGGAGTCATCTGAGCAGGGTACTACCTCCCTTTGTTGGTGCTTTAGGGTCACCTACGGTCACCAATAAGCCCTCACCCATACTCTATAACTAAGCCCTCACCCATACTCTATAACTATAACTAAGTTTCCCAGGGTAAACTTTGGTGGAGTCACTTTAGTTTGTCATTGGGAATTTAGGAGAGAGGATATAAATTGTTTAGTCCCATGCACAAGGGTGAAAATTCTTGAGACAGTCTGTAACTTGCTTTGTAGCTGAGGATGACCTTGAGATTATTTTCCTGCCTCTACCTCTCAAAATGTTGGGATTACAGATGTGTTATCACACATGCTACCAATGCATTTTTAAAACATATTAAAATTCCAACTTTAGATTAGATTCTATTAATTTGATTTTTTTTAAAAGCTTAACATTTAAAAAAAAATTTTTAAATATCTTTATTATTTTTATGTGTATGAGTGTTATGCCTGCATATAGGTAAGTGCACCCGTGTTGTGCAATTCGAACCCGGGTTTTCTGCAAGAACAGTGTTCTTAACTGCTGTGCTAGCTCTCCAGCCCCTAGAGTATTTGATTTTTAAAACTGCTGTTGCTGAACTGACTTTCATTTTTTAAAATGTTAAGTGAATTTTGACTTGGGATTAGGACACAATTTTCAACAATTTCTAAAACTGTCCCAAACATATCTCTGCCACTTTTGGTTTTTGTTTGTTTTTTCGGAGCTGAGGACCAAACCCAGGGCCTTGTGCCTGCTAGGCAAGCGCTCTACCACTGAGCTAAATCCCCAACCCCATCTCTGCCGCTTTGTACAATGTATTTATGTTAAGCAGTGTTCTCAGCATGGATGATTAAAATCAAAATATCGGCTCTTGAAAAAGACATTGATAATGTTCTACATCCTACAATATTAAATGTTTAGTCAAGATCTGAAAAAAATATTAAAATTATTTTTATGTGTATGAATTTCCTGCATGTATGTAAAGTTCACCAGTGTGTATGTGTCATGCAGTACCTGTGGAGGTCAGAAGAGGGCACAGGATTCCCCTTGACTGGAGTTATGGACAGTTGTTAGCCACCATGTGGATGGTGGGAATCAAACTCAGGTCCTCTGCAAGAGCACTCAGTGCTCTTAACCATTGAACCATCTCTCTAGCCTCATTACTGGATTTTTCAAAAGGATAGAGTGTGTGTGTGTGTGTGTCTGTCTGTCTGTCTGTCTGCACGTATTGCTAGGAATAAAATGTAGTGCCTAGTGGATGCTATGCAAGTGCCCTATCACTGAGACACATCTTTTTTTTTTTGAGATAGGTTCTCACTATGTAACCCATGTTGGCCTCCAACATACAGTCATCCTACCTCAGCTTCCTGAATGCTGAAATAACAGGCAAGTACCATCATGTCATGCCTGAAGGATTTTAGTGGCTTCCACAGGATTTTCTAAATATAAGGTCATTTCACTGTGAAATAGCTTTACTTCTTTTTCTGGCCATACTGCTCTGGCTAAGCCACATGGGGGTTTGAACCTAGGGCCTCACATATACAGCTATAGCTGAGCTCTACAACTTTTAGTATACAGTTGAATCCAAGTAGACACAGGAATCTTTTTCTTGTTCCTGACCTTAGGGGAGCAGCTTGGTCTTTCATCATGGAGTATGATGCTGCTACCTGTGTTTTTCATAAACACTCTTCAGCATGCTAGTAAAGTTTTCTTCTATTCCTAGTGTATTAGGGTTCTCTAAAGAAATAGAACTGGTAGAATGAATATATATATGTATAGAGATTTATCAGCTCACAGGATAGAGTCCAAGTAGTCCAACACTGGCTGCACCACACTGGAGAGGCTGAGAATCTGTAGTCGCTCAGTCCACGAGGCTGGATGTCTCAATAGTCCCAATCTGGTGCTGAAGGTCTGACAGATTCCGAAAGATCAGCTAGTCTTCAGTCTACAGCAGCAAGACGAACTCACCAGCGAGGGAGAAGGCAAGCAGCAAGAAGCATGGTGTTCTCCTCTGCCTTGGCCTTTCATACGAGCTGCCATCAGAAGGTAACGCCCACATTTAGAGTGTGTCTTCTGGCTTTAGATGATCCAATCAAGAAGAGCTCTTTCATTTCTGTTAATCCCAGATCCAGTCAAATTGACACCCAGGATTAGCCATCACATGTAGTTTGGTGAATGTTTTATCATAATTTGGTGTTGGATTTTGCCAAATGCTTTACCTGCAGTGGTTGAGATGACTAGGGAATATTTTTCCTTCATCCTAGCAATGCAGTATGTGTCATTGCAACACATCACAGTTCAGCCCAAGTAAACAGCCTGATACTTAGGAGTGGACCTGAACTTTGAAGGCGCCCACTCCCCGAAGTGTCCTCTGGAGCTGTGCTGCTGAGTCAGGCCTTACCCATTCTTTTATTCAAAACTGTTTCTCCATCCTCAATTTTGGGAACTACAAGCTTGGATCCACCTCTCATCAATCTTGCCTTTTCATCTCCAGGCCTAAAACATCTCATATACACAATGTCAAGTATTCTTCTCAAGCCTCCTTGTTTTCAGTGAAGATGCACTGCCTTCTGTACTTTGATTTGTTAATTCTCAAGGAGACCTGCATCCATTCACTATCTTTGGGTCTAACAACAAATTGAGGTAGTCTTTTAAACACGCATTGGGGTATTTGTTTTTGTTTTTTGGTCTTTTTGAGACAGGGTCTCCCTGTAGCCCCAGCTGTCCTGGAACTCACTATGTAGACCAGGCTGGCCTTCAATTCACAGAGATCCGCCTGCCTCTGCCTCCCGAGTGCTGGGACTACAGGCGTGAGCCACCACGCCCGGCTGATTTTTTTTTTTTTTTAATGTTTCGATAACTGGAAACCGGAAGCTCTCTGTATGGCTTCGATATCTGGCAATCCGACCTCAGACTGCACAGTTCTTCCATCTTCTATTTGGAAACAGTTGAAAAGTATTATTATGGAAAGGGCAAAATTGCAATTTAAAGATCTCAGTTGACCTTACCATCTTCTGTAGATTCAAACAAAACTTCATTCCACTGGGGAAAAAAATGTTCTGATGGGCCAAGCAGAATAAATGTTTTATAAACAGGAAAACAACAAAACCCAGAAGAAAACAGATACTAAAGTATGAAAATAAGATTGGTCAGTTACTTTCTTTTTGAGCTGGAGCAGGGAGACAAAATAATGAAAAAAATCATTACCTTTTTGTGTAAGGGCTGAGGAAACTTGATTATGCTTACCAAAACTGGCTTGTGTGGCAAATTTCAGTTTACTATCTAATCCTAATGTCTGGAAAGGTCAGATAAACAGTTTTGTTTGGTGGCCAAAACTTTGGGTTAAGTGGCTGTTTCAATATTTAGCCTATTTACTGTTGGGCTCTTAGTCCAAAATAATGGCCTCCTGTAATTTCTTCCTAATTTCTTAATTCTTCCTTAAATATTTGCTAGAATCATCTCTGAAAATCAAAAGTGTACCACATATGTGCAATGTCTGCTGGGAACTGAACCCAGGTCTTCTGCAAGAGTAGCCAGTGCTCTTAACCACTGAGCCGTCTCTCCAGCTCCTATTTTTCAATGTTGTGTGCACACACCTAATCCTATGGCACATATGCATATATGTGGAGGTCAGAGTCCAACTGCTGGAACGTGCTGTCCTACCATGTGGGGCATGGGGATCAAACTCAGGTCATGAGGCTTGGCCACCCCATTACTACTATTTGTATTTCAGATGGTCTAATAAGTATGTAGTGATCGTATTGTGGTTCTAATGTCGATTTCCTCAAT